CTTGTTGTGCACGTTGACAAGGTGCCTACCTGTCTATTACCCACTACCTCGTCCATACTGGCTCCAGGAGACGGTTGGTCGTTGCTGGAGGGGACGGGATTCACGGTCCTTCTGGTCGTGCTAGGCTCGAATAGTAGTTCCATGCACTCAGTGTGGAGCGGACTACGGTCCAGCCACCGCCTTGTGTGCGCTTGATTTCCCAAATACAGCGTGGTTGTGTTTGCCTGTGAAGGCGTGTGGTCCGGCTCCGTTGATGAAACGTGGCTCCCATCCACATGCCTCCCGGTCTTATTCCTTCGAGTTTGCACTGGATATGGGGTGTGTGGTTGGAGCTGTGGGTGGGGCAGCGCAAGCCACCCATGGTCCCTCTGTAGGCGCAGGCAGCCTGTGGCTGTCCCTGTAGAGGCCACAGTGACAGGCAAATCCGGAACCGGGTGCTTTGATATATATATTTGCAAAAGTCTGCTAACAGACATAATGCCATCAGAAACCATGGGTATCAAACGAAGGTACAGACACAGTAGAATAAAACACAACACAACAATGTCCATGGTTTCCTCAGAGGGCGAGATACTACCCGGTTGCCCAAGCCGAAGCCTTTGGCTGAATAGCCTGCTCGCAAGGCAGCGGAGCGAATTCAGGGAATCGCGCCCATTGGGAGCCGGTGACTGATTGCTCAGTTCATACGCCTTTCGTTTGTTCCTTTGTCAAACAGGGGCCCAATGCTTTGATATATATATATATATATATATATATATATATGTATATATAAATTTGTATATTTACCGACGGACGGTACACGGCCCCATAAGTATATATATGTATATATATCTATAACTAAGCGACTCCAGACTGTCGGGGTTGTCTGTTCCGGCAGATTCAGTAGTAAGTTATGTAAATCATCCAATAGAGCAGGCCTTCTGAATTTAAAGTGATGTCGATGAAGTCTATCTGCTCCGGCGGCTTGTTCAATTGCATCCATCTTATCTAACGTTCGATTTCTACGCTTGTTTGGAGATCCAGAATGACTGCCCGATGAGTAGTGCGCTGATTTCCCGATGGAGAAGCTGGCGACTCTGACTGATTTTGCTGCTTCTCATAATTTTCAGCCCAACGCCCTAGGCGCTTTGTCAAGCTGTGGATCGGCTTCCCATTCTTGTCGCATACAGTCTCGCTAACATCAGGTCTCCTGCTGCCCATTTTTCCTATCAGACGGAATAACATCCGACGGTTACCAAAGCTGCGGCTGTCTTCTCCGATGCACGGTGGGGTTTTTATTCAGGCTAGCACGCAATTTTGTGAGTCTCATTACCTTCGCTTCCAGCTGGAAGACGTCGGTGAGCATCCAGAACTTCTACAGAATGCCTAAAGACCCAATGTGCAGGTTGGCGATTTGATTTGCCACATGAAGACATGTCTGCTACTAATAACGTCTGGCGTATCTGCGACCAGGGATTGTCAGCTGTGTTTAGTAAGCTCTTACTCAGCTCGGATGCCACTGTGCTTTGGTATGCATTCAGAACATCTGACTTCGCCAGTTAGCATGTATCTATGCGCTCACAGCGCCGTTGTGGAAATCCGCCGAAACACATCCAAAGGTCTGCGCAAAAAGTGCGTAGTCTGAGTCTACGCTCGTACTTTAAATTGAGCGACAGTTTTTAACAGGGCCTCTCCAGCAGTAACTGATCGCCATGTGACCGACTTGCTTTCACGTATCGTCCGAAGCTGGTGGGCGCCATATCACCCTTCTGTGGGTGCTATGTTTGAAGTTGAGGCTCGCGAGAACTGGACGATGGTCTTCACAGAGGTACAGCAACCACTCACCATTATCAATACTGGAGCCTACATCGTGTTGGCCGCCCAGGGGAAGCTCATCAATGCACCGTTTCCAAGTTTGAGTTTATAAATCACCAGACAGGGCCACAGTATCCGTACATTTTTCTGTAACGAGGGAGCACTTTCAGTTGGTGAGAGGATTCATCTTCACCGAGTCAGCGCTGCAATTTGTGGGCGCGTAGGCCGCAATGACAAACAAGCCCCGTTTGTCCTCACGCGACTTCGACGCTCTGAACGAGCCAGCCATTCAGATGGCGTACATCCGGCTATTCATTGGGATCCAATCGATCAGGGCAGATTCCGTCTGGTAGCTAAGAACAGGGCCCACGCTGGCTTGACCGGCATTTGAAGCCGCGTCATCTCCGGACAAGCGCAATGAGAAAATCCAGCCAGTGTCGCACGTTGGGCATCGCAGGATATTTGCAGAACTCGAATCCTGCAGGTGAGTTTCTGATAAGCAACAGTTATCGATTGTTAGGGTCTCCAGTGTTCGGGCAAGTGCTGCTTGTTGGCCAATCTACAATAAAGTGCGCACATTGTGACCTGCCAGTCTTATGGAAAATCGAGGGCTTCAAATAGAAACAAATGAACTGACGTTGTCCATTTGGCTGGACATGCATTTATCGACTGGACCGGAGTGACGCCCTGCGATTGCGTGTGAGTCGAAACTAGAAGATAAACGATTACTGAACCAAGAGGGGGGAGAGGTAGGAATTGGGAGGTTGAAAACAAGGGGAAATGAAAGTGAAGTTGGAACGGAATGATAAGGATGAAAAAGCGCTAGAGGAGTGGTAGGAAGACGGGAAGACCTGAGGAGTAGCATCCAAACTCCTATCCGCCCTGGTCGATGTAACAGATATGGGGGCCATTTATTATCCTCTGCTGTGGCCAGAGCAACGAGAAATTTTTTGAAGATGGGTTCGTTGTATTGCGTGGGCAGAATACTGTCAGATTGCCCAGGTTTAAGCAGGCGAACGATTAGGGTTCTCAACCAAAGTATTTGGTTTAAAAACCTGGCCGCAAGACAACGGGGGTTTGGCATTGGGCTACAGAAAGTCCGTTTTACGTACTAAGTAGTCACCCTTACTTCAACCCCCAATCTGAAGAAGACTGATTTTCTCTGGCCTCTAACCATTGACCAATCTAGCATATGTGTCTCTGAAGGTACACAAACACCACCCAGCATAGCTCAATGGATCACTGAGGCACTCAAACCATCGCACGGCTTTAAGGTCCAGTCTCGTCGCGATGCGCGGCAGCGAAGCGCCGTTACGGCGTACATCTGACACATTATTTTTTATGTTGTATGAGTGTGGCTCGATTATGTTGATGAAACGTGACTCCCATCCACATATCTCCCGGTCTTATTTCTTTGGGTTTACACTGGATGTGGAACTTTAGGTGGTGCAGCGCAATCCACCCATGGTCCCTCTGTAGGCGCTGGTGTTCTGTGGCTGTCCCATGGAGGGCCGCAGTGACAGGCAAATCCGGAACCGGATGCCACCAACCATCATTTCGTGTATGTGTGTGTGATTTCTCCGATCTCATTCTGGTATTATATCCTGTTTGTTTTAACCATTTTTCGCTTGAATAGCGCAATAAGAAGACGAATTTTGCAAGATATGGTATCCTTTCGTGCCATTTGTTCACTTGCAAACGGACGACATATCAAATGATAACGTGAAAAGAAATCAATAACTTGAAAGTATGAGGTCACTTGTAAGCGAAGTAAACGGTGGCTACAGGTTCAGGAGAAATCATTACCTCGAAGCTAGTTTGAGCGTAACGAACAGTTGCTTCTGGACGCTCAAAATTGGAGAATGCTTTTTTATGGCCACCGCCTCGACAAACTTGAGGACTCTGGCGTTTGTGTTACGCTAGATGACACTAAACGCCGAGTTGAGGTCCACCTGCTGACCCGTTTCCATCAGGTGTTTCGCAATCGAAGAAGCAGGTATATTGTTCGTCGACACGGGTCCAGTTTGCGGCTGCCCTGTCAAGGTAACAATTCGCTTCGGAATGTGCTCCGTAATCCGCTTACCCAAGCAACGGTCCGTTCTTCCGGTGTAACTGCTTCCCCAGTTACAAGCAAATCGATAGATCCAATGCGTTGTGGCGGAGACCGGCTTGGTAGGCTTGACTGTGGGCAATGTTAGCTTCTTGGGTGTCCAGAGAAGCCAGAATTTAGCTGCACCGAATACCCGCCGTATTGCAACTGTTGTGCGTCGTTCTACCTGCCTAGCCAGAACATCCCCTTTGAAGGGTAATCGCAGATAAACAGGCATTTTTGGTACAGTAAGAACAACCGGCTGTTCACTTTCCGCGGGGCGGCTATGAAACCTAATAAAGGCTTCTGGGTAACCATTTGCCCGTAGGGTCTGCGTGATGGATTGCAATGCAGTCTCGATGTATCCCGTACTGCATATCCTGCGGGCCCGATTGAACAATGTTTTGACAAGTCATTGTTTGTATTGAACCGGTGTAAAACTGCTGAAGTGTTCATACAAACCGGTCCATGTAGCTTTTCGGTAAACGGTGCGCTGTATCGTGCCATCTTCTCGCCTCGTCAGCAGTACACGTGACCTCACGCTTTCAACTTATTGATTTTTTGTCACGTTATCATTTGATATGTTGTCCGTTGCAAGTGAACCGAGGGCACGAAATGATACAATCTTGCAACCTTCGTCTTCTTATTGTGCTATTCACGTTTATACAGGGAACTCAATGCTTCTAATTTTTGCGTTTTGATCCATTTCTTCTATGGATGACTTGAGTTCTAGCCTCAGGCTCCCTTCTTATCGGTATCATGCACGCTTGCATAGCAACTTTGAGACCGCCTCGATGTTATTTAGGGCTAACGACACAGTTGACCGACCATAATGTGGTTCATTGACTAGGTTAAGATATTCCGTCATCTCTTCGGTATTACGCTTCTCCATCATGCCACTAATGATGTATCCACGGAATCACTCCTAAATGGCCTATCCTCGTCATCCCAAACACGCTAGCCACAGCGTTCGCGCGATTTTTGTGCCTTAAGTTACAGCATTGCTTTACTGTTTGACGGTTATTATTATTACTATTATTATTATTATTATTAACCCTAGATCCGGTTTTGGTTCATCTCTTCAGTGTGTTTGTCTGTGCGTTCGTTTTCCCTGCAGATCGATTGTGAAGAATCCGTCTACAAGGCGGTGATGCGTTGGGTCTACCATCAGGTTGCCGAACGAGCTCCTCATCTTCCCAACTTGTTACTGAACATTCGCCTTCCCGTCATGTCCGTCCGCTTCCTCACCGACATCGTGGACAAAGATGTACGTGTTTCGTTTTGTCACTCCTAGATTCGGTACTCCGTCTTGCAGTCATCAAATGTTCACCGATCATTTTGTTTTTCTACGCTCGATTTTGCTTCATCGTTACTTCTGACTTTTCATATTCTAATTTTTGATACTTTGTGGTTCGGGATCTCTTTCGAGTTTGTATCCAAGGTTCACACTGACTGTTGCTAGGTGCTGCTACCATCTGCATTCTTTGCTGTAGACTGCAGCCGCCGGCGTGCACTCCTAGGCACAGAGTAGGGGGCTTGTACACCCGGGGCTGCGGAATCCCTGCGTCAGCTTTGCTTACTTCACTTGGATTGTTAGGAGCTCGAACAGGCACATTTTCGTTGAGGATCTCACTCAGGAGTTCCCGGGTACAGAAACGGTGTCTCCTCATCATGCCGCCATTGTGGCGACGTACACGGCACTGAAATTATTTGAGGAAGAGTGGCATCGGCCAAACGTCGGTACTTCGTACCGACGCTTTACTGTCATGCAATCGACAACAGTCACTTGCGGGCTAGGAATACTGAGAGGTTGCCGTTACGAGCTCCGGGAGTTGTGTGAGTTACAGACAAGATGCTTGAATAGTTCAGTCACCGGTCACCGCAACCTGGCGACAAACGGATCAGTGAGTTGCCTGCCTACCAATGGACTCGTTACTTCGTAAGCTTTATATACATGCTGAATGGTTTGAACCGGCAACATCACTCCCCTCGGATCTTCATACATGCACTGGTGTGTGATGGTTCACTGTGTGTACAAGCCAAGTCAAGCTAAGCTTTATACACTCGTGTGTGTGTGTGGGGGGGGAGGGAATTCTCAGCAATTTACACCAGGATTGCGGACTTAGCACAACATAAAATCGGTGAGAAAATTGTGTGAGATATGACAGGAACAACAAAAAGAGTTCCTTTTCCAAATTTCCACAATTTTGGTTCGACTAACTAACAAGCGAGACAGATACAGCAACATGATGGATTTACGAAATGAAGAGGTAGGGGAAAACAAACTCTTAAATTTCGATCGCGTTGAACAAGTGGACGCCGCACTTGCTATAATATACAGTGTGTCTAGGGATGAGAGGAGTCGTTTAGAATCTTCGATGTGTAGTTAAAGCATGCGTCAGACTCTTTGCTAACCACAAAATCAATGAGGGATTCTCTGCTTAATCCATAGCATCGGAAAATAAATTTTAGTGATCGCCCAAGAAAAGTATACTCTTTTTGAAGAAGTCCGGGGAAAATAACTGGGGCACAGTACAACCAGTGGGTGAGAATATGTGCCTTTACAAACTTTAGCATTAGACCTCTCTGTACGGAGGGTATACTGTGCCTAAAGCAGTAAAAGGACAGCATTCTGACTTTTTGCAAACTTTCAAGTATATGTGTCGACCAGAATAAATTGTGGGACAAAAACACCGAGATAATTTACGAAATGTGAACGTGGGATGCTTTGGTCACTCACGACCAAAGGGGTGAGGCGTTTAAAAAATAACAGTCTGTCAGGACAAAGAAGATAGGAAATGATCTCACAAATTTTGGAACAGTTAAAGGAGAGGGATAGGGAGCTTGACCAAATCAAGTAATCGTCTGATTCTCGTTGGAGTTTCCAAGACTCCCCAGTTAATGGGGTTATACACCCTTGGGCGACTTTATCAGCGTATTTACATCTGACGAAACCGGTTGGTATAGACAGACATTTAACATAGAGGGAAAGTAGGAATAGATCCTTGTAAGACCCCACAATTGGCTAGGATTGCGGAAGGAATTCTATCGCATAACTGCGTGAAGTATGTGTGATTCGTGAAGTAGTCACGCATTACATTATATGCGTATTGAGGAAGCTCGTTAATCGAACACAATTCAGTAGTAACGATCTGTCAGGGCTACCAAAGGCATTAATATAATCAAGGAACAGGAGCCGCACAGTCTTGCATTATTTTCTCCTAGGTAGATGCGATGGAATGCACAAAGTACGAAACGGCATCCACGGCAGTGCGCTCTGATTTGTATCCAAACTGTTTGCAAGATTGTAAAGATTCCGGGAACTAATAGTTTTGAAGCACCTTCAGCAGCACGGATGCGCATTCTATTGGCAGATGCTTCTCTGATTGCTTCTTAAGCACGGCTGTTATTCTGACTGTTTTCCAGATGTCGGGGATCGTTCCAGTCGTTAAACATCGGTTAAAAATCTCTGTCAAGAGTGACTGTAATTTACCTGCATACCCTTTCAAAGCGATTGGGACAGAGAATCAGGGCCACTTGGAGACGATCCAAGTTGTGGGATGCATTACGTCATCTCCCGTTCATCTTTGTCCAGTAGGGCTAGTTTTAACCGGTGTATCGCAACTACTGATTGAATCGTGTGATTTTTCATCTGTTTCACTCGGCTTTCTGACTGGTACGCCGTTACTTGCTTATTCTGCACCTTTGGAGCGTTTCTCTTAGCTTCCTAAGGTGCATATATTTATTGGTATGTTTCTTTATCTTACTCTAATCTTATCGCGAAATATTTTGTGTTAGCCCATTTGCCTCATGAATTTGCTTATTGTTACTGGATAGGTGCTAGCCAATTTTCGTGTGTATGTGTGTGTGTGTGTGTGCAAAGCACGGTGAGTACTTTTCTCATGGAACGGTCTGCACCGATCCGCTCTCCGATGTCCAAATATATATATATATACATATATATATATATATTTCGCACTTTTCCTGACTTACGTACCTCAATCACGTCCGCCACGTCACAGTGTTGATAAGCAGACTTTTGTAACTTTTTGTAGGAAGGACGCTTGCCAGGCGAAAACCCACCACGTTCTGAAACACTATCACCGAACCATTTACTGGGACGGGAAAACCCCGAACCACCCAGCTGGCACCACTGGGAGGTTGTTCGGCAATGATTAACATTCACTCATCTTGCAAGGGTCATCAAATGCTGGTTAACTGTGCTCCTGCTCCCCGTGCGTACATGTTACGCCACCTACAATCTCTGGACGTTTTCACGATTCTTCTACATACTACGCACATCAATTGATGTAAATGCCACGGCTTCAGGACTCTTATAGGTTCCGTATCCAGACTTACCGGTTCTGTTCTACATCGGGTTTACTCTTTGGACGTTCCCAAATAGTTCTCCACATGCCCGGAAAAGCACTAGACGACCGTTTCAACTTACTTAGTCTCCTCAGTACTGCGTATCTATCGGATCCATCGGAATGTGTACCCATGACCACCAGCGGCCTCGACCGCCATACAGCAGTTTATGCCACTAGGCCACGGGGGACAGCGGCGGACCGTCCTGATTTACAGGCTAATTGCGGCAAGCGCGTCTTATACTTCACCTCCATGCAAGTTACGAACGTTGCAGAGGACAGGGTTGGCTTCCGAACGACACTGCATCCACCGACAGTAGCTATGTACGATATGGCATTTAGGAACTGTTTGGGTGGATATTTTGATGTACTCATGAGAAGGGGATTTTGATACAATTAATTAAGGGTCCATCGCAGTCAATTCCAAATCAGATAGTCTTCCACATGCCTGGAAAAGCACTAGGCTGAAGTTTCAGCCTGTTGGGCATTATCAATAGTGCGCATTCATCGGATCCATCAGGATTCGAACCCATGACCACCAGCGGCTTGAACCGTCGGTCAGCAGTTTATGCCAATGGGCCAAGAGGGGCACTTTCGGACTGTCATAAGGTGCAAGGTAGCTGCGATATAGCGCATCTAATCCTCCATTATCATGCAATTTACGAATCTTGCAAAGAACTGAATTGGCCCCCGAAAAACTCTACATCCACTGACAGTATCTATGTACGACATAGCATTTAGGAATTTCTAGTTTGCATATTTTTTGGTGGGTTTTTATGTTAACAGTTGAGGGCTTCTTCGCAGTAGTCTACATTTGTGCCCTCCCAAACAGATGCCTGCCATCCCTCATGCATCAACGTGCCTTCATGTCTCAGTCACAGCGTGTGTGTGTATGTGTGGGTGATTAAGGTTTCACTATGTACGACAGGTCCGCTTTGTGTCCCCATTTCTCTTCCGATTTGTACTTGAAGGCTTCCTATAGATCACTCTGGTAGGCATCCCGACCTTTTGGCCCTTGATCTTTCACCTAGTATGCAGACAGCTGACTTAGATTTTACTGCTAATATCACCTTACGTGGTGAAGCGGTTGACATTTATAGCATCTATGTAGGATACGTACTTCGCCACCTCGATGTGTAGAAGTCTTCCTCGGGACTTACCCACACCCATTCCCGGGTGATCGAGCACAGCAGACTGGCCAACCGTACTTTCATCATCATCATCATACACCTTAGCTAGAGGCGGGAAACGCCTCAGCTACTGTGCCGCAATACATAGAAGAAAAAAGAAAAAGACGCAACTGGTGCAAGCCAGCTGAACGTTCATTCATTCATTCATTATACATCTTAGCTAGAGGTAGGAAACACCTCAGCTACTGTGCCGCAATACATAAAGGAAAAAGGAAAGTAAATACAACAGTTGCATGCCAGCTGAGCTACCAGCAACGGATAAGCATCGTTCCGGTAAGCTACCAGCCGGCTATTAGGCAAAAAGAAAAGTTATTACGGAAAATTCTATTACGCTACTAATTGAGATCGTGGTTGGAGGGGAAGGCTAAAAGGGATGGGGAGGGACAAAGAGACTCACAGCAGGAATGGCACTGAGATCCGCTCCTTGCCATGTCAGCAAGCGTATCTAGCCAAACGTGTTCGTCTTTTGGACCCCAACTAGAGAGTCGAGACGCTTCAACCGAGGCTAGCTCCGCAGTGAGCGCGTTCATTCCTCTCGACCAAGTCATCGCTTGGCTACCCCTCCTCTTTTTCCGTCCACACGCCCGGTGCGCAAACAACGTACGTCGCGAGAGTCGGTGGCCTGGCATGCGTGACACGTGGCCGACCCATCGGAGCCTGGTGCGTGAAATGACGGTGCTGAGCGGTTCAGCTCGTTTTCCTGTGCCGTA